CATAAAATAACTTTATTATTTATTTACAATACTTTATTTACAATATATATTTATAAATATATTAGATAAATAAGAAAAGAAGAATCTAAAACTCAATTTGTTATGGATCATTTAGCACAAAAAATTATTAAAAATTTCGAATAAATAATACATTATCATAATATGGTATTTCAATTGTATTATGTATAATATTAGGTGTTGGAATTAATTCGTAGCGTTTTACAAGTGATGGGAAGTACTTTCATTAATGTATTTTTTAATGCTCATGTGAAATAAATAACATTCTTTCATTAAAAAACGCTACGAATTAATTCCAACACCTAATAATATACCATTTTCTTAATGTAAACGAGAAATATAATAATTTTCAATGTTTAACAATTAATTTATCTCATCAAGTTTATTTTACATATTTCTTACTTTAAAATTTGCGAGTTTTAATTATTTGCTATATAATAAAAAATTCGCCAAATTTACATAAATAATTTTTTATAAATTATTTTCATAAAATTTCCGAACTTCTATTATTTGAAGTAATTAATACACATAACCAAACTTATTTGTTTACATATTATTTTCTTGTTAACTTTAGTTTATACACTTCTAATTATATAAAAAATATTTTTTATTGTTTATGTTTACATATATGTGTATATAAGACTATTTGTCTTATATTGTCTTTAACAGTAAGTTAAGATAAGATTTAACAATGAAAATTTTTATTTTTGGTCTGATTGGATTTATAATAATTATGTAATCCGTTTATAAACTATGTTAATAAATAAATTAACAAAATGTGAAAGGAACATGAATGAAATCAAGAACTTCATGACTATATTCTTTTTTATGTAAAGTGCATAAAAATGAGATATGCGAATTTTTTAACCAATAATTGATAAATAAAATTATTATAATTTTTTTATTATTTTGTTACATATCAATAATTTTAATAAGTAAAAAAAAGATAAAATTAAAATAAAGATATATCATATAAATACAATTATTTTCAGTAATTATTACGTTTCTAATTGTTTTTAATTGTTTAATATAAATCATTATCACAGAACGTTTTCTTATTAATTATTACTTATAGTAATTATAATCATATATGTATTCTACTTAACACATATATGTACGAAAATATATTTCGGTCAAAATGACCAGGACGCGCCTACTAACGTTAGTTTCGAGACGCGCCTACTTCCGAATTAAGGGGCGAAACACCTCTTTGAAAAAAAAACGATATTTGTTTTTCGAGTACTGAATACCATCCGATTTCATTCATTTTTGTACGCGACAACTACTAAATTTCTTACTCGTTTTAAACGATTACCGTATGTGAATAATGCATTAATTCTGACTGAAATTTGACCTGAAAAGGTTTGAAGAGTGATACTTTCCAAATGTCATATCATCAAATGGATGATGGCACTGTCTTATAAAAATTTATCAGATTTATCGAACCATCTTCTATTATAAGGAGATGGATTTGGAATAAAATTATTTTTAATTCTTTTTCATGGAATAAATTAAGTATCAAAGAATTAATAACAGGTTAATGTATATATTTTAAAAAGTTATACACTTTTGAAAATCTGAATACAATCATAAAGCATAAAGAAAACTATACAAATTTTATTTAAAATATCTTTTCATACATTTTTATTGTTTCGACGACAATTACTTACACATGAGCGGATATCGTATATATGAAAATGTTTATAATTAATTCTTGAAAATGGTATGTTGTAATATTATATAATTTTATTTTACATAATTAGAAAAAAATTATCTTTAATTTGATAAAATAAAATTCGAAAAATTTGAGAAAATTATGGGAGTAGTGGGAATATTTTGTTATAAAAACAAAATGATTAAAAAAAATATTTTTTTACAACATCGAAATATTCTTGAAACCATACAACTTTTGTTTAAAAAATTTTTTTTCATCTTTTATACTTCCGACGGTATTCTATTTCAACTCGAAATAGAAATACTGTTTTTTTTCAAAGAGATGTTTTATTCTTTAAACATAAGTTAGTGCATATAAAAAAATACGTGTCTCTTAGATTTTTGTGTTTAACAATATATTTCACGGAGAATAAAATTGATGGTGAACAATTGTGTAACGTCCATTGTGCAGATAAGGCTCGCAGATATTTCTTTGACTAATTGCACACAAATATTTCCATAAACTTTTCTCAGAAATGAGATTATAATAGCTTAAAAAATTACGATCTTAATGATCACAATTACGATTTTAATGGTCACAAAAAAGTAATAGGTCAATTTCCGGAAAGATACTTATTTATTGTTAGGTAGAAAGTTTCTTGTATCTGCAAGTATCAATCATTAGTATTTTTTCATTAATAAGATGATTGGGGGGGAAGACGCCACACTTAAGCCTTTATTCTTGAATAACTTCTTAATGTTATTAAATTAAATTACGAAAAAATATTATTGGTATTTTCTAGAGACCTTTTTTTATTATTATATTAATCTTTATTATTGTTATATTATCTTTATTATATACAAATTTGTAAATTTAACGTTTAATATTTCGTATTATTGGAAAAAATTGATACATCATATCTTATAAAAGTGACATTTTCGCCCCCTATATATATATATATATAGATAAGATGGCCACCTCCTATGGGGAGGGGGGGGGGAGAAGATGTCATAAACAATTAAATAACGTAATGCAATGTAAATTTATATATTTTACTTATTTACAGTTCAATCAAGAGTTTAAGCTGTAAAAACACATAAAAGTACGATAAAACATAAATTATAGTCTAGTGACGACACTGTTAGAAATCTTCTTAAATTTCATTAAATTTTAAGTTACACAATTTGAACTTAATTTCATGATATTAAATTTAATGTATTTATAACTAAAAAGTATATCTTTGTGTACATATACATAAAATTGAATGTATTTTTTATGAAAATTTATGAAATTTAATGTACTTTTCATAAAATTTTATTTAAAAAATTATTTCATAAATTTAATGTTTACGTTCATTTCATTTAAGTAATTACTTTAATTTAATTTTCAGTTAAATCATTCATTAATTTTAATTGCTTTGTTTACATGTAAAAGAAACTCGTGAGTTATACTAGCTTGATCAAAAAGTTTCCGGAATCATTCATTCAGAAAATTCAAAATACAAGTTTATTCATCAAAAGTGATATTGTCCTTCAAAGTACTCTCCAGCGACTGCAACGCACTTATACCAGCGCTTGATCCAGCTCTCGAAACATTTCTGGAACTCTATTATTGGTATAGCTATCAATGCCGTCTTCGATTTTTCCATTACCTCCTTTCGGCTGTTAAAACGCGTTCCCCGCAGGTTTTTTGACTCGATCGAACAGAAAAAAATCGCAGGGAGCCATATCGGGTGAATTCGATGGCTGTTGGATGGTATTCGTTGTTGCAAACTCGTTGTTGCAAATTCAACTCCATTTTTAAAACTGTAAAAAATCGAAAACATGCGCAGAGTAGATGTCAAGATGGCGTAATTTTTACAAATGTCAAGCTATAAAATTTGATGGAAATGTCAATGATAGATGTGGCAACCTAGCCAAAAAAAAAGAACTCAAATTAGCTGACTCAGAGCATCACCGGATGGTCTCTTCCGGAAACTTTTTGATCAAACTGGTATTTCTAGCAGTGTAGATGGCGTTGAGTATATAAGTCTGCTGTGAGATATACCGCAGCATATTGTCTCTAAAATTATTACTTGACACAGTCATGGAGAATCCAAGAATCTATAGTGAATGTGACAAAGTACAAAAGAATAGAATATCATCTATAATCGAAGAGTTCAGCGAAGATTTAATGAATATATGTGGAAAGTGTATGGACATTGGCTGCGGTCCTGGAAATATAACAAAGGATTTTTTATTACCTTCTCTTGACTCAAATGCACAAATAATTGGTAAAAGAGTATTAAATTAAAGAAATATAACAAAAAGTGATGTTATAATTACATATTTAATTCAATACTACATTTCGTGAAGGTACGGATATTTCGGAGAATATGGTCAAATATGCGAATAAGACATTTGGTGACAAAAAACGACTTCAATTTAAAATATTGGATATTGAAACTAAAAATTTGCCTAAGGAATATATTTCTGAATTTGATCATATATTTTCGTTTCAAACTTTGCAATGGTGCAAGAACATTCGGTAAGCAATATAAAAAGTTGTTATACACAAGAGTAAATTAATTTTTTCTTCTAAACGTATTGTACGTGAATTCATTTTAGAATAAAACATATTCCAAATAAATTTATGCACACAATATTATTTTACATTTAAACGTAATTATTGCTTATAATGTTTTTTGATCATATTTCTAATATACCCAGCAAACGAGAATGGATTAAAATAGATTAAAATGAATTAAAATTTTTTTCTAACCGAATGCGTATTTTATATATATATAAATAGCGAATACTTTTTTTGGATTTAATTGGATTCAATTGGATACAATTGGATTAAAAAATTGCATTTCCTATTCAAAATTTCACATTTAGGATTGAAAAACATTTATTTTAACATTCGTGAATATATTTCTCAAATTAATTTCAATTCATTTTAATCCATTCTCATTTGCTGGGTAATGATATTTAAAAGAATAATGAACATAAAAGAGTAAAATATATGATTTTATCATATGTTTTGCATGATTGTATTAAGAAAAATATTTTTTAAAGATATATTGATAAATGTTAAAAAATAATAATAAAAATAGAGCTCCGAGCAAACATCTACATGCTAATTTATTAAACCCAGTAAACAAAGTTTTATTATAATATTTAGGTAATTATTCAGATGTATTTGATTCTAGACAATATATCGGTTTAAATTTAAATTTATATAAAAATTGTTAATATTGAGATTCGATTGGAATCGAAATGTTTATTAGAATAGAACTTTGTTTAATGTTTTTAATAAATTAACATTTAAACTTTGTTCAGCTCGTAATCTTATTTTCATTATTATTTTTTAATTATTTAAATATAGAATCTTTCTTAGTTTAATTATTAATAAATGTGTTCTTTAAAAATCAATTACATGTTTATCTGTTTTATTTAACAGACAAGCTTTCGAAAATATTTATCAAATGCTAAAACCTAATGCAACTATGCTTGTGTATGTAATAGCATCTCATGATATTTTTGAAATTCTCAAATTGTTGGAGCAAGACACCCGCTTTGCACAATACATACCCGTAAATTATAATATACATATTAAATTATTAATTAATATATTATTAAATTATAATTATTATTTTATTTATATTTTTACTATTTTTATATGTTTTATTACTTAGTAACTTTTAAATTATAAATTGTTAATAATTACTTTTCATGCAGAATTCGATGAAAAATATTTCGCCATATCAAGAGTCAAAAAATGCTCGTAAAGAGTTACGGGAATTACTTCAAAATGTCGGATTTACAGTTCATCATTGCAGTCTTCGAGAGGCGATATATTCCGACGAAAAACCGATACTACAGCAGTTTTTGGGTACGTTATTTTATAAAAATATGCAAAAAGTACTTTTATTGTTATCATATTACTAGTTCTTTAAGGAATTTTTTTAATATAATTTTATTTATGTATATTGTAATTTAACACTGATGACTAGTTTTATACTTATATATATATATATATATATGCAGGATGTCTGAAATAACGCCTACTAATCATATAGTGCTATTCCTAATAAAAAACTGAATCGAACAGTTTTCTACCATTTTGCAATTTTCACAATAGTTAACAAGATATTAATTTCTACATGCCGAAAGATATCTTAAAATTGTTTTATTCATCGCGCGCGATGAAAATATCTTTCAGTGTTCTTTGCAAAACATTTTGAGGCAATATAAAGGTTTAAATTATTTACAATATAAGGCTCCACAGATAAACTCAATAATGATAAAGAAATGCCAGCACTAGATATTTGTGTGTAATAACCACAGCAGTGTCGCTGCGCGTAGCTTAGTGTCGAAACATTACCAGTGTCTCCAGATATATAATAAAAAAAATAAAGGAATGGTTCAAACTTACAAAATGACACGGATTTATTAAACCCCTTGTATTATGAGTTGGTCACGAAAGTTAAAGTTTCTTTGTTTTAAAATTCTAGGTATTTATTAGTAATTTTATGTTTATATTTATTTTTATTTCTGTTGGTTGCGTTCTCATATTTGCGTTATTCTTATTACGTTTTAATACATTCGATAATGACATCTCTTTGTAATCACATCGTTTTTGTAACAGACTATCGTTAATCTAGTTTTAATGTAAGTTTTTAGAGAATTTGACTTTGTAATTTTAAATTTTAATCATACTATTTTCTGACTCAATTTTACTGAAGTACATCTAACATGGTTAGTTTGTATATCCGACAAAATGTAACAGACGACATAGAAGTTTTCAATTATTGACAACAATTTAACGATGATTTGATGACTTAGCGAGTAAACACGTTATTTTATATTTCTATGGATGATTATTAACATTTTTACATTGAGAAGAGGATCCAATACTAGGGTCAAAATGTCGGTATTTAAAATATGTATTATTGTATACGAATATTTAATGTTGATTTACATAGATATTTTCTTACACACATTATAATTTTAAGATGTTTTTTAAAGAACTCTTAAAGATATTTTAAAGTTGTCTTATACGTCGATTTTAGACATTTTGTTTATGTATGTATATATATTAGGTGTTGGAATTAATTCGTAGCGTTTTTAATGAAAGACTGTTATTTATTTCACATGAGCATTAAAAAATACATTAATGAAAGTACTTCCCATCACTTGTAAAACGCTACGAATTAATTCCAACACCTAATATATATATTTTTTTAATAGATTCGCTAATATGCCTCTTGACATTTATTGAAGACATGCCATATGACTTGATGAAAGAATTCAAGAACATACTTTCATATGAATATATGAGAAGACGGTTTTATTATAAATCAATGGATAATGATAAAGAACTTGTATTAGACCAATGTAAAGTATTAGTAGCTTATGCACAAAAGAATATATAACAATTGCATAAAGATAAGCCATTACAAAATAAGACGTTTATATATTGTATTATGTAACATTATTTTTTTAAACAGATTTCGCACAGATATATACTAATGTTACAATATTAATACTAGTAATAAATATGTACTAATATCATAATATTAATACTAATAAATAGATAATAATTTATTACGGAATAAATTATTAATAATTGGACTGAAATTATTAGAATAAGATTGTGAATCTAAATCAATATTTGTCATATAAAATTAAAATTTTATATAATAATCACAAGTATAAAATTATATATAATAATCACGATATGTATGTACCTATATATCTCAATTAAATATTATTTAACAAAATGTTTCAAGAACTTTATTTTATAAAAATTTAATATATATCTGTAAAACTATATTTGTAAAACTAAAAATAATAAATCTTCCCAGTAAATGAGAATGGATTCAAATGAATTGAAATGGATTCAGATTTTCAGAAATATTGATTCACGAATGTTAAAATGAATGCTTTTCAATTCTGAATGCATTTTTATTCATTTATAGGAATTGCATAGAGCATATTCCTGTGCCTTTCAATCTAAAAATAATATTAACTTTTTCTGTGCACACAAATGCAATTGTGAATATTGTTCAATTCAAAATTTTAAATAGGAAATGCAGTTTTTCAATCTAATTGCATCCAATTGAATCTAATTGAATCCAATTGAATCCAATTAAATCCAAAAAAGTATTCACTATTTAAAATACGCATTCAGATAGAACAGAATTTCAATCTGTTTTAATCCATTCTCGTTTGCTGGGTGATAATCGAAATGATTCTTTCAATTACTTGCAAATATAGATCTAAAATTTTTATAAGAAACTTATTTAAACATAATCTATATAAATCTAAGAACGTATTTAATTGAAAAGCTGCAAAATATATGTAAAAATATATCTAATATATATTAATACAAATTAAAATTTTACTTTTTTAATTCAAAAACAATTATTTTATTAGTTTATTGATACTTATTACTACAGACTTATTACTACATTACAGATATTATATACTACAAATTAAAAAATTTGTAGTATATAAAAATACTTAATATTATCTTTTCCAAGCAAAACAGTGATATTAATAAAACATAATATTCTGTAATATTTTTTAATTATTTAAAATTTATTTTTATTATTTTCCTGAATAGATATCTCATATATCGTGACATATATTGTGAAACAACTGCTGTTTAGAAATTTATATCTTGGCGAAGAAAAGTGATGTACATTAATTCTCAATACACGCGATAATTTTTTGATTCTTTACTATACACGATGGATTATTCGTGTTGGATTAATCTTCATCCCTTTCACAATTACATACAAATGATTAAATAATTCTTACATATATCTTAATATCTTTAGAAAATATTTATAAAGTTGTGCATTTAAAAAGTTGTATATACATATAAATTATAATTAACTACAGTAAAGAAAATGAGAGAAATGCATCTTTTTGTACAAAAATTTTTGCAATATTATAAACATAATAAAATGTTTCTTTTTAAACAATAACCTATTATGTTTAATTTATTATTTTATTTCAAATATACGAACGTAATAATATTGTGTAAAAATTTAATATTTTGTACAAATCTAATACGTGATCTGATTTCTCGTATATAAAAAATATTTCTCTCCACAAATCTAAAAGCAAAAGTATTCTTAAAATATAAATAAATGTAATAATGTTGTGTAAGAATTTAATATTTTGTACAAATTTAATACAACTTGATCTGATTTTTTTCTTGTACATCGAAAATATTTTTCTTCATAAATCTATAAGCAAAAGTATTCTTAAACTTTTATCAATATAAATTTATCTGTATAAAATGTTTCATAATATGTGCATAACTTCGGAAATGAATTCAGGACACAAAAACTTTATATAAACGTTTGATCTACATCTAACTTTGTTTTCGAGTAACAAACATTTTCATTTTATTAGTTTTTATTATAAACTAAGTTTTTTTTAGCCTAGCTGGTTTCTATCTAGATGTTTAGTATCAATTTAAATGAAGATAATATAATTGTACAAACAGAGGTTATAAGAAGTCGCAGTAATTCGAGCTCAATAGATACTATATATATAGATAGAGTCACAAATTTTCATCAAACTGCGCATTGAATGAATTTTTCGAAATAATGAAAGTTTTAAAATGCTAATCGACAAAATTATCATAATAATCTAACCTAACACTAAATTGTGTAAGCAATTTAATGTTTACATAATTAGCCAGAAATAAGATGTTTGTTTCCATACATATACCGGTTATTGCGAAGGTTGTTACTAAGGTCGCTCGGTAATCAGATTTAGGACGCTCGCACGGAATGCGAGATCTGGAGTTGACCTCTGGTTGAGTTAATATTTTTTGCAATAAATTATTTTATTTTATATATTTAATATATTTATCAGCAATTATTTAAGCACCAAAAATCCAGCTTTGTTATGATCTTTATTTGCTATTGGTTGTGTATTCACATGTATAATCCAATAAGATTCTTATTAATTATACCCACATGTTATTAAAATAACCTGTATAGTATTTTATCTAAAAATATATATAAATAAAAAAAAAATATATATATATATATATATGTGTGTGTAAAATATATATATATGTATTTTGATATACCTTTGCATTAAATTAAACAAATAATAACTTGTATTTACATATATATTTACAAGACTTACTTTTATTTTTTGTATTATATTTGTGTTACAGATATTTCTAATATTTTTTTAAAGTGATATGAACAAACATTTTTACGGTTTATTCAAGTACACTTTAAATTCTTCCAATCCATTCAAGTACACTTTAAACAATAACTTGCAAAGGGAAAAAGCAACTGATGTGTTTGATGAATTTGAAGAATATCTAAAATGTATATCTGGAAAATGTCTTGATATTAGTTGTGGACTTGGAGATATAACAAAAGACATGATTTTGCCGACTCTTGATCCAAACGCACTAGTAATTGATAAGAAAATAATAATTTATATAAAAACATGTAACAATATGTTAAAATAAATTGTTACATATAACAATTATTACTTCAGAATTGTATAATATAAAGTTAATTCAATTATTTTATATTATACAGGTACAGATGTTTCAAAAAACATGATTGATTATGCGAATAAAAAATACAGTGTACCGAAAAAACTCGAATATGAGATGATGTTTTAGATATACAAACTAAGAATTTGCCTACAAAATACATATCTGAATTTGATTTTATATTTTCATTCAATACTTTACACTGGTGCAATGATATCAAATAAGAAAAATGTTATCAACAAAAAAATTTTTTAGTTTTGTTTTCTTTACAAAAATTTTTATAAATAAGCGATATTAATAAATATGCACAGAATGACATCTATATTCGTACATTATAGAAAGAAATTTACATAATGTAAAAACGAAGTCATACACATTGCGTCACTCGTATATTAGAATCACATTGCTCATCAGAACTCTTCTCACTTTATCTGTTTAGTTTTATTTAATTAATTAATTTTAATTCTAATATTAAACTAGATTATATTTAGTTAATTATTTGGTATAATTTGCAGCTTCTATTGTGTTCTTTCTTGATTTTATTGAAGATACTATGCGACAAGAAAGAAAAATTTCAAAAAGAATTTGCAGATAAATATGCAGAAACATAAATTATCTGTAAACAAAAATGATCAGAATATGATATTAGATGTGTACCGCGCATTAATTTTTGCTCAAAAACGTATGTCATGAATATGTGCGCACATTATTCATTTTAAATGAAATAATTATTTTAATTATATATTTAATTTAATTTCCGATAAAATTATCCAAGATAAAATAAAAAAAATGTATTGTATTAGATGTTTAAAATGTATTAAAAGTTGCACAGCAACGTATGCCACAATTGTGTATGCACATATTATTTGTTTTGAATAAATATTGTAATTAAACAATGAATTTATGTAACATATGGTAAAATTATGTCAGATTATCAATTGTCTAAACGTTCGATTAAAAAATTTAACATTGTGTTACTGAAATTTTCAAAGATATGATAAATTCATTAGAATTTGTTCCTTCTGGCAATTTATTGTAAAACATGTAATAAAAATTTTTAAAAATTTAATAAATATATTTTGAAACCGTACAAACATTTTTCAATTCTAGAGATACAACAAAAAACATTATTTTAACTTCTAAATGCAAAAATACAAATGTAATTGATAAGATAAAATAATGGTAGGATAATGATAAATTCTATATAATAATATAATAATCATGTAAATTATTTCTTGATAAAGATATAAGTATTTTACAAAGAGTGTAATTGTTATTCATAATACTTTCTGAGTCTTCTAAATTATTGTGAAATAAAATAGTTATGTATGTGTACATGTATATTAAAAAATACTAATTTAAGTAGAAACTTAAGTAACCACAATTTCAATTGATGGTCGCTCATTCGAAAGACAAAAGAAAGTTATTAAAGTAAAAGAGGAAAGGCAATTTTATGGTTTATGCGCCTTTAGATGTAAGTTATCTATCACATTCGGTCAATTTTGATCGATATTTGACATAAGATCTTATCTTCTTTATCGAAGAATTCTACACATGATACAATAACTTGAAGTAAAAGGAATAAAGTTCTTTTTTTTACTCAACTTATACTGTGTGTATCAGTTCAGAAAATTCATTGATAAATAATAGATCTATATTTTCTGTTTCACTTTTTGTGTTTATTACAATATCAGACGTGTTTATTACAATATCAGACGTTAGACTGTCATAGTTTCGAATGATACCATGAAAAGAAAAATAATTTCCAACAAAAATAACAACGTATTTAATTTATCCCAGATATAAAAAGAAATAAAAGATTGTCTTTGGCAAAAAGAAAATACGGCAGCCAAAACGAGAAACTGTCTGGTCACCAAGAATATTATGGTATTATTGAGAATAATAAATCCTCGAGGATGAGCTGGAATTAATTGCAGGACCGATTGCAAGCAATTTACGA